CCAAGATGACCACAGCAGACCAGGAAGTTAAATTCTATGTACAAATCTTTACATTTCACGATGTCATCGAGATGACACTTATTCAGCTGTTTATGACAGGAACTTAAAACGACATAGTGTCCTCGTCTGCTTTCTCCAAATGTTTTCCTATCCTTGTTCTATATGGTAGGGAAGGCTTTACAATTTCTTTTCAGTGGGACCGCTAATAAGTGAAACACGGTTCTACAGAAGGAGACATTGAATACCATCGACGAAATATGTAAGCAACGGAAACATTATATGTAAATAAAAAGGATATTTGCCCTTTTTTTTAACAATGATATTCATCCTGTACAATGTCCAAAAGCCATTTGTGGGTGCATGCATGTGGAGAAGATAATGGTTAACTTGATTTGATCAGTTTACGATTGTAATGAGCGGGGAAGCATCCTCTTGGGAGTCGGTTCCTCTAAGCAGCGATTATTTGGAAGAAGCTTCTCAAGTGGAACTTATATCTCACCAATGAAAGACGAAAATAATGATGGAGGTTCCCTAAAATGTGCGTGGTATAGCAAGTCTTAGTTATGAAGCTTAGAATTGGTGGAACTAAAGAATTTAGTTCGTCTGAAAATGTTCCATGAAAATAGCGATAGAAAAGCGAGAGGCTTGTGAAATTTTGAGGGATAGGGTTTTATCACCCACAAGGACGCGGGCCCGCATAAAGTGAAATGTGGGAAGCTGCTGCTCATATATGGCAAGAGTACTCCATTTACGTCCTGATCTAGCGCTTGTAAAGTTAGAGAGTAACAGCAAGAGTTAGCTGTTTACAGACTCGGTACAAAGAACGGACTATTCCCAGTATATTTAGGGATGGATTACACATGCGAAATTCACTTGAGATCTGCGCTGAATTTAAGTCTCAGTGTGAACACATATTCATCGCGATTGTTGGTAATTCAGGGCCCGCTAGGTGATGATGGAACGACATTAGTTTGGATTTTGAAACACTGAATGTGACCAGCATGTTTTCCCTCAGTGAATTTTTAGAGCTCGACCAGAGGAGAGATCAGCTGCCAAGCTCTGGTCATCTAGATTATTGGAAGTGTAACCATATACCATTGTATCATCAACATAGATATTCAAAAATGATCCTTAGAACCAGAAAGTGATAGCTGAAACTTTTGGAACTGATATCTCACCAATGAAGGACGAAGAGAATGATAGGGTTCCCTAAAATGTGCGTGGCATAGAAGGTCTTGGCTATGAAGCTTAGAATTGGTGGAACAAAAGAATGTAATGAGGAAACAGGGCTTGGAGAATTTGACACTCACATGACATACTGAAGAGAAGAGGAAAATATCGACTACTCTATGTATGTTATTTACATTATTCGGAGTATTGTCCTTATCTTTGTCGTCTTATTTATTATAACGTTTCGGCCGTTGCACGCCCCGGCCTTCTTCAGGTTGTTGGAATGTCGAACTGAACCCTTTATTTCGCTCACTGGGTAGACTGTTCTAGTTCCACGTTTTGATGGATGTCAGTTATCAGTTATCTCCTGCAAATTTCCCTCCATTGCCTTTACCGGGTATTGAACTCACACTCTTTGCATCCTGTCATCTAACCAACGACTTTATCCACTGTGCCTTTATCCACTTGAGGACATCTGTGTATGAATTTCTGGGTATTATAAACCTAATGTCTCAGCAACCATTTTTACCAGTGCTCATATTGCAATTTTTGCTGTTACCATTTCATGTTTTTACCAGAGCTCATATTGCAACTTTTGTTATTATCGCTTTTCTTTTTTCTATGCATTGATGCAAATGGATGTCAGAAAAGGGACTGGGAGGCGATCACTAATTAATCTTCCTATAAAAATCATATATAATAATGAATAATGTGACTGTATCTGTATAAGTATTGTAACGCTAAAATAAACAGACATTCAAAATTCAACTATTATTCCAACATCCGATTCAATGCGCTAATGCCCTACTACAAAAAAACCCAAAAAACTTTTAAATACTAAGTTAGGCAAGACGAAGCGTAACTACAGTAACCTTAAGTCGAGGCATCGACTCCTGAGTAAATAATCTTGACAACTTTTGTCGTGCGCCCCACGCGTAAAATCCTTGTTCGAGAAACTGGTTGGATACGTAGTCTGTTTCCAGTGTTCTTCCTATCTGACTGGGTGTCCTTTAAGCTCAGTTTCCAACAGACTGAAAATCCCCTTGTAATGTTAGACACATCTTGTGTTGGAATCTTCCTTTGACAGCCCGATCTTGCAAGCACTGACACGATACCAGTTTTTCATTTCATGAAAGCTGAATAAGACAGGGAAGGAGATATGTCAAACCGCTTAAAAAAAGTTTCTTATAGCCTTCCCTAGATTTCTCAATCAATTTCTTTTTCAGGTTATCCAAGTAATCCTTTTTATCGTGATTTCAAGATGGAATATATGTTAAGTTTTTAAAATTCATATAAGCGTTCTAAATTAAATGATGACCATTTCAAGGAGTATATGAATAGCTGAATTTTAGTTGTTGTTATGAAATATATGTCCTGTGACTATTAAATTTTCCAAACTTTCTTTCCTCATTATGTCTCTCTGATTATAGGTACCATACTAATTCAATATAATCTTTGATTCTTTATGTTTTTTTTAAAATTCGCGCCAGGTCTCATGTGTCTATGACTTGAATAAATTGACAAATCTTTTTACAGTTAGAACTAATGGGAATACACATTGTATTCACATTAGTAGTGTTTTGAAATGTTTCTTGGTTAGCTATTTGCTATAAACACAACATAGACCTCTATGTTTTACGCCATATCTAGCTGTCGGATAAGGTCCTGGTCTTTTCTAGCTTTTTACTTTCTATTATCTTCAACCTACGGTCTGATGTTTATATTAATAAATGGAGCTAAACAGGCAAATGACTTATTGAGTTATCGTGTCGCTGTTTGAACAGCTAGGGAAAAGTAACTTGTAAATACTAAGTTATGCATAACACAGTGGCATTACAGTGGTCCTAAGTCGATGCGCCGATCCTTATATAAATAAGTGTGGCAATCTTTGTCGTGCAACTCCTCTGTGAAATCCTAGATGACAGTATTATTGAAATCAGTTGAAATGGCAAATAAACTGATGGTGTCTTTAGCAGACTTGTTGCCTCTTGGTATTCAATGAAATTCAATTGAGTAATTTTGATAGTGCTAATAATTTAGAGCTTGATAAAATCCAAAGAAGAATCAGCAATATTACTGGTCCTGTTCTGGCGACTCGGCTTCATTCACTTTCCCAACGCTGTCAGGTTGTCTCCCTCTACCTTTTCTATAAATACTTTCAGGGTAATTGTTTGAATGAACTCTTCGCTATGGTTTGTTATTTTTATCCCTCCTCTCACCCCAAACAAATTGTACATACGGGAACTAATTAAGACTACATAGAGACTTTGAGGTATTATGATGACTGTCGTAAAAATGATGTGGTAACTACCACCACCATTACATACACACAGTACATAGAAATCATGCGGCAAGCATTCATTGGTTGATCTCCTCAAAACTAGCTCGCTGATTGGTCAATTCCGACTAATCAGATATCCTGCACGCGAGGAATTAAATTTCCCGCTCACTAAGTTTTATCACGTGATACACCATCTTATATAAACAAAACACGTGTAAGCTATCACTCTCTCTTCGTTTTCTCATTCATCTTTCTCCTTGATGCCAAGATGTAATCTTCAAGAGCTCCCGTCTTAACCTTGCGGTCAGTTGTTAAAGACCATTACAACATTCACGCAAGTACGAACTCTAAAATCTCTTCTGAACTCTTACCAACTTTACCAATCCACAATTCCTAGTATGCAACAGAAACTTATTCTTCTAAACTACAGTTTAATAATTAATTCACTTTATGAGCTCAGGTAGAAATATTTCCAAATCTAAGAGACATAACTCTCTCAAACCTTCAGCTTATATGCATGTACACCAACACTAATAAATTCAATTGTTATGTTTGAATCATTACGTTCTGTTTTGTATTTTATACTATGTGCTATTTTACGTCAAATATAAATTGCATTGTGCACGCCACATTGGATAGTAACCTCCAACGTCATTACTTTCCTTAATCACGCCTTTCCTAGTCAAAAGTTAAATATATGCACGACATACCCCTAAAATGGTAAAACTGTGTTGTTTTGGTGTAAGGAATACTATAATAAGTTTCGGTCAGTAATCGTAAGTAGCTACGGTTTATGATGACAGATTGAAGATCAGCTTTTCTTTTTCACCACCTTTGCCCTTGTGTCACATTCTTGCATTATTCAAAATAAATATTGCTCTTCGCTGTTGTGCCTAGACTCTTTGAATTTAAGCTCAGTACTAGACAGGCGATGAGGTTTCATCAGTTCACAGTTGAGCTGGCTAGATGTAGCAGTAAATTCAATGCTGGCAGTTTCTTTTCTCGCACTTCTCGCTTGTAGAACTTCCTTCTGTTTCCATGGTTTCCAGCCAACTTTGAACTGTAAAAAAATAAATGCAATGTCAATCGCTATCTACTGTTCTCCTAATTACTCTTATTTTGTTTTTGCTCCTTATCAGTGTTTCTTTTTCTAACTCTTTCACACCCAGTAATCCATTGCGTCTCAGTGGCTTTTTGCCTTGCATGGGGTAAACTCGATTAAAAATTGATATTAAATATTGAAGAAACCTCATAAAAGCATGAATGTGTTCTTAATGTTTGAATGGCGCGAAAAAACGACACTGGAATTTCTTTTAAAAAAATAATTCCGATACAGAAAAATAAAAAAAAAGTGTTTTTTATTTTATCTTTCGATATAATGATGTTGAAAGAGGGAGAAAAAAAAAACTTCTTCCTCGTCAATAACAAAGTACGGATGCTCTTAACAGAAATAAATAGATGTTAAAATAAAGCGAAAAAAAAATGGAATGAAAAATGTGACATTAAATCGGTAGTTTAACCGAAATTTTCTTTATTGCCCCATTTAACGTTATGTACGAGTCTCTGACTGTGTTTGTGTGTGCGCGCGTGGAAAAGGGAGGAGCCAATGGATATAAAAAAAATTACCGCAAAGAAAAGGGAAGAGAAAGAGAGGTGGGGGGAGAAAAGAGACAAGCATACGCGACAATGAAAAGTACAAATGAGCAGTTGTGACAGATGCTATCATGAAACGCTCATGCGTCATTCGTCGCATCGGGCATGTGACAGTCACTTGTCACATTCACAAATATATACATCAGTGGAAAAGAAAAGAAGATACGTGAAATTGTGCAACTCTCTATCTTACCTGGGGACGCAAAAACTATCGAGTGTGCAAACAAATATTTTAGTCATTATGGCCTAGTGGTTTAAAATGTCCGTTAAAATACATAGTACGGAAAAGACACTCTGTTTCAGTGGAAGAAACGAACAAGTGACATTATGAATAAATAAGTGAATATTATTTGATACGAGTTATCTCCCCATAACAAGGAAAGGTGAATAAGAAACATTAACTCCTATGGATTAAATAAGTGTTCGAAATTGTAAGGTTAGCGAAAACGAAGTTCACTTTTTATTTA